AGTTTCGTATTTTTACATTCGCCATCACCCAATCAACTATTTCAAAAGTTCTGCTACCTTTAAAACTTTGTAATGTGCAGAGGTATAGGTTTGAGGGTATTTATAAAATGTTATCATTCCCAGTCAATCCAATTTGATATGATTATGTCAGGAAAGAAGAATGTGATTTTAAAAACTCCTGTGATGGATGACTGTTACCTCTAAATACTGTATACCTTTAAACCTGAAGGTAAGGGAAGAGTCCTTGAAATCTTTTAGATATTACTAATCTACAGCTCTCAACAGCTATAGATAACTTTGTTAACGATGAAAGATGCTAATAACTGTAAGTCCAGTGACATTTGGGAGTCTCGCTTCTTATTGCATTGAAATTAGTTACTGCATAATGGATATCTCTGGATTTAGATCAGTGGTTCTCAACCTTTTTAATGCCGCGACGCCCAACCAGTCATAAGTCGAGGACTACTCAACCGGTCGTAAGTCGAGGACTACTCAACTGGTGCAGCACCGTTTGCAGAATGGGACTTTTGGCGGGCTCAGCAGGGCAGAGACAGCCTGGACAATTCCTATTGGCTTTTGAAAGCCAATAGAATTAGACTCTATTTAAGAGAGTCTATTCTATTGGCTTTCAGAAGCCAATAGAATAAATGGGAGTAGCACAGCTAAGGAAAAGGGGGGGGGAAATGGCGGACTGCGTTGTTTGGCGACCCCCGAGAAATGGTCGTTCGACCCCAAATGGGGTCCCAACCCACAGGTTGAGAACCACTGATTTAGATGATATTGAGAAGATTATGATTATTTTCCAAGTTCATGTACAAATATTCCAAACGTCATCATTGAAGTTTGTGATATACCGTGAATTTTATCAGCACACTAATCTGACTTACAGTATTTAGAAATTCCAATATTTATGCAGGAAAAAAATGAAATAGCTATGGAGTAACATATATAATCCAAGAAATATAATGTTCCAGACAAAATCCAAGAAAATCAAATGCTACACATCTTTTTCTGATGCATTTCTGTTTCAGATTTCAGAAAACTGTTGGCATATCTCAAATATTTTTTGAGAACTAGATCTCTACAGCTGGTTTGTGATGTAGTATATGCAGTAATTTCCAGCTTATTTAACATCTCCCATTGTTGAAGAGCTCTAGCATGTGGGCAGGTAGTGAGATCAACCAGTTGGATAAATCTAAAATTAAGACTGCTCATTTAGTCACCACCATTTTACAAGACATATTGAACCGGAATGGGGTGTCTGGCAGACCCATACAATTCCTTGAACAGTTAAGTCAATCATGTTTGCTTGTTACTGCATTGATCAAGTTGTGGACTGAAAAACAAAGGTTTTAAAGGGAACTTGTTTGATTTTTTTCATCTGATGCCAAGTTTACCAATGCAGGTTTTGAACGTTTCTACATAAAGCCTGGATTCGCACAACATATTAGGCTGTTTATTTTAACTGTAAACCACAACTCTAGGTTTTTATATATAAAACTAATCCATAAACCATGATTCCCAAAGAATTTTATGCCTAGATAAAACCAAAACTAACATTTTGGTTTGATTGTTTGTGAGGCCAGCTAGGGATGTGACTTTTTGATATGCTGGGAAAGGTTTAAAAAGAATGCATGTATAATAGTGAAATCATATAAAATCAGTTTAAAGCTGCAATTCTATGTACAACTGCTTAGCAGTAAGCCTAGCTGGAATACATTTAAATATGAATAAACTACATCACAACATCAGCAGATCTTAAAACTGCTTTTGTTATTATTCAAATCAGATGCAGGTTGATTGGGTAGCAATACTTTGTTGTTTTCAACTGTAAAAGTAACAAACTCTGGCACAGGTTATTCACATTACCATTTTCTGGCCTTCTAATTCTGAGCTACTCCCAGCAGCTTTGCATGAGCACTTCCTAGGCAACTTTAATCTCGGGAATCAGTTCTGCAAATGATACAATTCAATGGGCAAGAATTAGAAGCCAAGATGGATGCTAGTGAGTTATGCATGAAACTTGGAAGAAGCTGATGCTGACTTACTTTTGCAGCTCTAATATTACAGTCATGAAAGTTTTTTTAATGAGATTAATTACATATTAGTGGATTGGCCCCCACCTGTAATGGTACTGATAATATACATGCTAATCAAACTTTTGGTGAGTCAACAGCTACTTTACTCTTGCACTGAGAATTTCACCTATGCTCTGTGTAATTTTTCATATAATTCTACAACATTCTATGTTCAAATGCCAAAACTCAACATTTTTCATTAGAGAGTTGTTGCTTGTTGGTAAAAATATATCACTCTATATATGCCTACTTCAATATTACTTCATATTTGCAGAGACCCCCTGGATAGCTAAAAATTTCCAGTTTTGCTAAAGTAAGAAATCAGTTGCACTGCTTAACAGCACTTACGTTTCTTCCATGGAAAATTGCCCACATAAGTTAAACATTTTGTGTACGTGCACGAATGATAGAATCAAGAATTGAATACATGCTATAATGTTCCATTTCTTAAGTGTAGCTATTCTCTACCTTTCTCAAATGCAGATCCTTGAAACTATTAGCAGTTCTTAATAATTGCAAAGTAGTTTAATTTTTGAAGGGCAAAATAGACCACTAATGCTACACTACAATTAAGGTGGGACTGAAATCACAGAGTCCTTTCCACCATAAATTCATTTCAAGTTGCTAGTGCTCTCAGCAAAGCAATATAATTAGTAGAAACACAATTGCAGGTAATTACCATTGTAATATAATAGAACAGGATTTCACAGCTACCACTAGCCTTTATTATAAATCCATTTTGCTCCTGATCTAATTTCCAGGCTCCCTTCAGGATTTATTTGATGTCATCTATCTTGTATTTTAATGGCCCAGCTTTTGTAATCTAACATTAATTATATTTCCCATTAAAATATTGGGAAAGGCTTCTATTTGAACTATAGCTATTTGGTAAATGAGAAAATGTCACCTTATCTACTTTGATTCCATTTCTTTCTGTTAGCTTTGTCATCTTTTTTTCTTGCTACATATTAGATTATTGATGTGCTGAACTCATAGATATAACCATATCTCTTTCAGGGAAGATATACAATTTATCATTTGGGGGAGAGGGGAAAAACAACAGCTTCTCTTTCATCTTTCTATATACTCTTTATATATTTCTCTAGTTTTCATTACTATCATAAATATTAAAACTGCAGTCTTGTTCTTAAATAGAAATATGCTACACTGGACACAACAGGATTTGCTTCTGAGATTTATTCTACAATAACTACTCTTCTTTTCATTTAGTGAGTTTGCTGCTTGTATAAGCAAGGATGAATATATAGCCTGCTGTTGAAGGAAAAGTCTTCATCGTGGTTCAGTCCAAGTTGGGAATAAACAACATGGTGACTGCTTTAGAAAGAAGGTTGCAATTTATTGAAGAGGAGAGCAGACAGAAAGATGGTTCTGGAAGAAAAGAGAGAGAGCACATGTAGGGAGTGGGTTTTTATACTCTCTGGAGCCTTTTGTTTGGAGTTGCTCCTGTGGCATGAACTTTGACCTGAGTCTGAGTGTGCCGTTTGGCATCTGTACGTTAATCCTATTATGTCCTGTCTTAGAGTTTGAGTGAGGTATGTAGATTTTAGGTGTCTTTGTCTTCGTAAGCTTCAAGCTGGGGGCCTCCAACCTTCCTGGATTATTTACATCTGTATTTCTACAGAGCTGGTTTCTGCTTGGGGGAGGGAGACTTGGGGCTATTAAGAAAACTGGACATGCTTTTCTGCCTCTTTTAAGATTCTTTGAGGAAACATATTATTCTCCCTTTTAATATTTCCTTCTCTGGGAGGCTGACTTCCCACATTGCAGAGATAGAAAGTTTAGTGTTTAACATAGAGCATCTCATTTCCACTCCAAAAGAGAAAAGGGCAGAGAAAAGGGTAACAGAAAAAGAGTATTTTCCCACAAAAAATGCTGTTGGTGGTAATTCCCATGAATAGTTAGTTTGTACTACAGGGGTATCAAACTGCTGGCCTGCAGACGGGATGCATCATGCCAAAACCACGCCCGCCCCATTTCCAGCAATGGAAAAAAAGTCACAATATGTCATGACACGTCATGTGATGTTGCAAGTTTGACACCCTTGTACTGGATTCTGGTCCATTCTATTTAACTTTTTGGGATATTCAAGAACCATCATCTAATAATCCCGTATTAAAGTAAATAATCATCTTAACATTTTGCTAGGTCATTCACTTCAACTGGGAAATGCAAAAACAACTCTAAAATATTGTAGTCTGATGTTTCCAATAAGGTATTTGGCAAAGCTGTAAATGGTAAAATAAGATAACATAAGGCTATCTTCATACAAAATTGTTTTCACTATCTTGTTAATACAAATGGTCTTTTTTGCCGAGCATTACAAATGCCAACCTTCCCCAACCTGGCACATTTCAGATATGTTTGACCTACAAGATTTAGAATAACCAGCTAGCATGCCAAATAGCTGATAATATATAGCCAGACTAGCTGATTGTTGACTTTGTCTTTGGATTGCTGTACCTTTTTCTCTATTCTTTTTTTTCCCATCTCTGTTATACAGCCTGACTTCCATTATCCACTTACGTTGCTTTCCTGCAATTAATTTAAGCTTTTCAATTGCAAGACATCACACAAACTCATCATACACTGGTTTGTCCACCTAGGACAGGGATGTCAAACTGGAGGCCCACGGGCCGGATGCATCATGCATAGGCCACGCCCAACCCAGCTCCGCAAAGGCAAAAATTGTAATATGTCACAATGCATCACATGACACGATTGAGTTTGACACCTGTGATCTAGGAGAATCTGCCTTTTGCCTGGTAACTTAAAGGGACCTATCCTTTCAGAAGAGAGGTCAGTCCTATATATGGTGGACAAGGGTAAGGAATATTTTGTTAAGTTGAAGTGAGTGCTTTTGTAATACTCTAGCAATTGAATATAAATGTTATCTGTGCAAAATTTACAATAAAAATCAGTTTATTATAATCAGTGCATGTGTTACAGACTTTTCTATTCAAAATGCTGGAAAAAAATAATCTTGATGTAGTGAATACATTTCAAATTCACCAGTTTGAGTATTTCATATTTACATTTCTAGCACATTCTATCAGACTAATGCTACATATGATTTTGCTTTTTTGTAAGTCAGTATTGTAACTAAATTGTCATTTTTATACATCAAAAATATTTATTATATGACCAAGGGTAACAGATTATTCCACATCAGAAAACATGAAAGATGAATTTGAACATTTGATGTACTAAGATTTTTGTGTGGCTACACAGAGGCTAAGATATAATATGGTTGGTTGGTTTTGGTTGAACAGATTGCATGATTCCCACCTTCTACCAGTATGTGTGATCCAAAGTACTGTAATAATAAGTCATGATTCATAATATAATGTGTAAAAATCTAGACATTCATTTTCTATTTCCATCTTGATCTTAATATTGAATTGTTTTAATAAACATATTAAAATGAAGGGCTGTTAACATGACAAGATGCTTTTCCCTCCTCTCTGTGTAAAACTTTACTTCTGAAATTCTCATCATTCTTAAAATTACAACCTCCTTCCAGTGCCTCTTAAAAATCAGACATCCTAAATAGATGGTACCAACTAGAAATTTTTTTACTCACTGTTCAATGTCCTGAATAAAAATCAGTGATCAAATAATGGAAAATCACTGTTCTCCTTGGGGTGATTCACACAGAATTGCCCAAAGTCAATATTGATAGTCTGTCTTCTTAAAAGTTCTAAAGCAGCAGTTAAAGGATGCAACTACCTCACTCTCTTGAAGTGGGTCCTCTCCACATATCAAATTCTGCAGGACCAAGTATTTCAGTTTTGCTCCAAAGCTGAGCTCGGAAAATAACAGAAAACTGGAACAATTAGAGTATGAGATACACCCTGGCTATTGGTGCTTCAAAGCTCTTATTCATACAGGCACGTTTTCCCAATAAGCCTCGATTCATTGTCCTCTTGTCCTTAGAAATATTGTAAGAGAGGCTTGCATATATCTGGGAAAAAATATTGTCTTATTCTATGAAATAGTCTGGCTATATATTATCCAGCTTAATACAGGTTCATCCTATATTAGAAATGTGATACTAACGAGTTTCACAGATTAGCAATAGTGAAATGTGTATTCTGGTTATATCCTTTTTTTATGCAAGCAAACAAAACTTCCACAAAAATAATATTTTTTTCCCACAAGATACATGTTCAGATTTTGCAATAGACATCATACTTCAGCTTTGTTCCCAGCTTGGTTCCAGCTAAACATTCCTTAAATTTAGCATCCATTTGCTCATTTTGAGCCTTGCCAAAAATATTCTTCCAATCTCCTACAATGCCTGCAACAAAAAGAAAATGGGAGGCTCAAAGAAAATAGAATCACTTACTTGATAGTTTTAATAACAATTCAAAAGATTTGTAATTTCATAACTGGGTACAAAATGATACAATGCAATGAGGATTATAGAAATACGAATACATTCACCAATTTTCTATGGTTCCTTCTTAGCCAAATCTATTAAATCTATTGTCTTGCTTCCAGAATTTGCTGTCATGTACAAGCACCAGAGCCAGTTGTGAAAATGAACTCAAAACCAATGAAATTGACTGAGTTTAAACCAAGTTTATCAGGACCAGTAATCCTTAGAACCTGGATACAAATATAGTAATGCTTATAGTTTTATAGCTATGCATGTCTTAACCTCAAACTCACACAATGCACTTCCAATTCAGATAAGGGAAAACAATCAACAAAAATGTGAGATCCCCTTGATCCCCACCCCTTTTTTCATTTTCTGCCAACAATATCAGATACTAATTTTCCTTTCCATGTGCCAATTACAGAAATTTAAATATAACTTTTGACATTCTGAAACCACACACTTGAGAAGGCACCAGAAAATATAGATAGGTCTGCATCAACCTTTTACACACCTCTACTCAGTACAGCTCATAAAAAAAATAAGAACTAAGAAGCAACAGAAAGTAAGCAGACAGGTAAGAGAAAATAGATTGAAATATAGTTTAATGCAGTGGTTCTCAACCTGTGGGTCGGGACCCCATTTGGGGTCGAACGACCATTTCACAGGGGTCGCCAAACAATGCAGTCCACCATAGGCACTGTAATTTATAATCTATGTTTTATTTTCAAGAACAAAATAAATGTCAGATCCCTAGTGCTGGATATCACATACCTAATTTCTAAATAAAATAATTGCAGAATAATTTTAAGTATTTGTGAACTGTCTTTTGAGAGTCAGTTTGCTCTAGTGGTTAAGGCAGTGGTTCTCAACCTGTGGGTTGGGACCCCATTTGGGGTTGAACGACCATTTCACGGGGGTCGCCAAACAACGCAGTCCGCCATTTTTTCCCCTTTTCCTTAGCTGTGCTACTCCCTTTTATTCTATTGGCTTTTGAAAGCCAATAGAATAGACTCTCTTGAATAGAGTCTAATTCTATTGGCTTTCAAAAGCCAATAGGAATTGTCCAGGCTGTCTCTGCCCTGCTGAGCCCGCCAAAAGTCCCATTCTGCAAACAGTGCTGCACCAGTTGAGTAGTCCTCGACTTACGACCAGTTGGGGGTCGCGGCATTAAAAAGGTTGAGAACCACTGGTTTAATGTAATTTATAATGAGACCATAGATCTTTCTAGCCTTGCTTCTACCAGAGCTGTATTCAAATTCATAACTTATTTTTGTTTTAGAAACTTTTTTTTCTTTGAGGATCTTTTCAATTTGTTCCATCCATAAATTTTCTGACTTCCCCTATCTCTGAATCTGTTCACTTCCCCTCACAAATTTTGGTAGTACAGGTAGTCCTCGACTTACAACAGTTCATTTAGTGAGTATTCGAAGTTACAATGGCACTGAAAAAAGTAACTTACAATTGTTTTTCACACTTAACAACCTTTGCAACGTCTCTTCTAGACACCTGGCAACCAATTCATATGTATGACTGTTGCAGTGTCCTGGAGTCATGTAATCAGCTTCTGTGACCTTTTGACAAGCAAAGTCAATGGGAAAACCAGATTCACTTAACAACTATGTTATTAACTTAACAACTGTGTCAGGAAAGGTCGTAAGATGGGGCAAAATTCACTTAACAAATGTTTCACTTAGCCCCAGAAAGTTTGGGCTCAATTGTGGTCTTAAGTTGAGGACTACCTGTAGTTGTAAACCCTACAAAGTGTGCTTGCTGCATACAATTAATGGGACATTCATAAACAGAAATGCTGTGAATGCTTTCATTTACTAATGGAAACTTGGTAGAGGGGAATACTAAAAAAACACTCTTTCCCTGTTTCCTTTTTTGTAAACCAACCTTTCCGGAAGAGCAGTGGACCAGCCATCCCATGTGTTTCCTGCGACTTATCGCGCACCACTTGGAAGGTAGTTCTATCTGCAATAGCCTGAATTTGCTCAGTAGTAGCAGGGAAACCAAAAAAATTAGCTATTTGCTTTACTCCTGAAACCAGATCCTGAAAGCAATATAGTGATATGATTAATATCCTATGTAAGTTGTATAAACTGTATATTTGATATTAATTATTTATATTAATGAAAAGCTGTATTTCTTAGAGCAGGGGTAGGCATAAAAGAGCCAAGGTTGCCTACCCCTGTCTTAGAGTAAGCTTGAGTAGCTTCTGATTCAAAACCCATTGTCAGATATGTTGACTTGAGCATGTAGCGAAATCGCAAACAATATATCTCTATACGGAACCATATAGACTATAACCCAGAATAGTTACATGGTGGAAAAGGAGAAAGAGTAAAAATCAGTTCAGTGGTATCTAACTCCCTTTTCACACAAACCCACAAATACGTAAGGCATTTATATCATTAAGATACATTTTAGGGGAAATTGTCATAAACAAGTGGCATTTTTTTTGTAAGAAAATTGGATATCAGCCTTCTCCAATAGAGCTTGTTCTTCCTGTACCCCAAAATAATTTTTCAAATTTTGTAATACAATTGCTATCAACTAGATGAAGCCAAAATGGCACAGAAAATAAGTTTAAAATGTATTTTTAATGCTATTAGAGCATTAAACCTTGGCTAAGGTCATTGTCCTATAACTCTAGGAGTTTAGGATAAGGGTGCGTGGGATTGTTCACTGGTGAGAGAAGTAACTTTTGCTATTCAGTCTTTTTTTCCAATCACTTACTCATCAGGTGTTCCAGGCTGTCTCACAACTTTCAGAACAGGATAAGGAAATGATCCTTATGATATACTAAGACTCAAATTCCAGCCTTTTGATCATGCCATGTCTTATAAAACCAGTAAGAGTTTGGGACCACCTCTTCTCATCTAATGTACATGGAGATGTTTTGCTCATGATTATGAATACACCAACCTCTTCTAATTGCTCGTATGTCAGAATCAGAACGTTTTCATCATCTATATGTTTGTTCCAAGCGACAGCTTGATCGAAATAGGATCCCCAGGCAACTGTAGTATAAAGGCAGTATATTAAAACGACCTTATTTGTAAAAGAGTCTGCAGAAAGCATCAACAATAAATTATTTATATATATATTGCATTCATACTCTCTCTGGATAACATATAGTATTGAACCAAAGTGTTTTTTATTAAACATCTATTTCCTTTTCATTTCCTTATTCTTGTATCCATGCATCAACCTTCATATCAGCTCTAACACACCTGCAATCCCCTAAAGACAATAGGAGTTGTAAGGTAATATCTCTTCTCCTGGCAAGCAGTGTGCTAATGGTGTTTGTTCTGCTGACTGGAAACAAGTTTCTGTTTCTGCTTACATAAGTTCTCAAGATACAAAGAATACAAATGTCTTGCTGGGAACTTCCAAATAAATAAGGCCAGTTCTCGTGGAAAGCACTTGTGAGAGGTATCAGTTCAGCTTTGGCTAGAGCAGTGGTTCTCAACCTTTCTAATGCCGCGACCCCATAATACAGTCCCCCATGTTGTGGTGACCCCCAACCACTTATACATCACCGGGTGCCAGGAGCGTGGCCAAAGAAAAGGGGGAAAAATGGGGGACAGCCTTGTTTGGCGACCCCCGTGAAATGGTCATTCGACTCCAAATGGGGTCCCGACCCACAGATTGAGAATCACTGGGCTAGAGACAAAAATTAGTTCTCAAAATGCCGACTATCTATGCTGTCTGTCCCAAAGTCACATCCAGAAAGTAAACTGTGCAAGCTTTAATGCTATTTCAAAAATCTTGTGGGTCTTTTTGCTTAGGGGCAATAAAAATATGTTCATCTATATCACAGAAAATGAAGCTCTGATCATATCATTTTCATTTCTCTTAAAGCCAAACATTCTTCCAAAGGGTGTGTAACTTCCTAGAAAAGCAAGTTTGATAGCACTCCTATTAGAAATCATAGTAGTGGCACATCTCAATTTCTCCCCTGGTGCTCAGATTGAGCAGATTAGCCTAGCCTTCTGTTCCCCAAGTTATTATATTTGAGCCAATCTGAGAACTTAAGAATACCTTCTCCATTCATAAATTCTGGGAAAAATTCCTCCCATGAATTATAATTGGGAATGGTTGGAGCATTATTATGAAAATGGAAAAACGATGCTGCTGTATCTTTAGGATTTCGAAACAACACCAATATCTAAGGGAAGAAAAAAGAACAGACATTTTAAATTTCCAGTGACATGAATGAAAGTACTGTATTACTGGCAAAAGTCCCTATTACATTGCAAATTGATGCTGATGATTAGCACTACCTAAACTACACTTAAAAGGAAATTAGAGGTTGAAATTATGTCCATTAATTATGTCCTTCAGAAAGCACAGTCACCATACTCCAATCCTCTCGTATCTTTAGAAAGGCTACCAGATCTAGATTGCCAAAATCCAATCAACCACCAAATGGCAACAGAGAATTAGTTTTCAGTTCTCTCTTTGCTGCCATTTTGTCATCCTCCAGATATCTGCAGCCCAAATCTGCTAGCTTTACCTTCTACTACCAAAGACATACAATGCCATGTTTCACACAGCTGTCACTATCCACTGATCTCTTGTGGTCAAGGGTACTTCTTTCCTAGTTAATTTATTTTGAATGGGGTTACTAGACATTTCATATCCTATGTTCCTGATACATATCTATAGCCTAGTAGCTAAACTATCACAATACCTAGTATTATAAAATATCTGTTAGGTTACATCAGATACTTTCCTTCCAAATGTTCTAGATTATCTGGACCCTTTTCAATCTGGTTTCAGGCCCGGCTACAGCACTGAGACTGCTTTGGTCGCACTGACCGATGACCTCTGGCGAGCCCGGGATAGGGGTCATTCCTCTATCCTGGTGCTTCTTGACCTCTCAGCGGCTTTCGATACCATTGACCATGGTATCCTTCTGCATCATCTCGGAGAGGTGGGGGTGGGCGGCACCGTATTGCGGTGGTTCTCCTCCTACCTCTCTGACAGGTCACAGTTGGTGTTGGCGGGCGGACAGAGATCGACCCCTAGGCGCCTCAATCATGGGGTGCCTCAGGGCTCGGTCCTGTCCCCCCTCCTTTTTAACATCTACATGAAACCACTGGGTGAGATCATTCGGCGACACGGGGTGAGGTATCATCAGTACGCGGATGATACCCAATTATATATCTCCACCCCGTGTCCTTTCAGTGAAGCAGTCGACGTGATGGGCCGGTGCCTGGAAGATGTGAGGGTCTGGATGGGGGTAAACAGGCTTAGACTCAACCCTGACAAGACCGAGTGATTCTGGGTCTTGCCTCCCAAAGGCCAACTGGATGGTCCATCTTTAGTCCTGGGGGGGGGGGGCAAATTTACCTCTCTCAGTGCAGGCACACAACTTGGGTGTCCTCCTGGACTCACAGCTAAATCTGGAACAACATCTATCGACTGTGGCCAGGGGGACCTTTGCACAGGTTCGCCTAGTGCACCAGTTGCGGCCTTATTTGGACCGGGAGGCTTTACTCACAGTCACTCATGCCCTTGTCACGTCAAGACTGGATTACTGTAACACGCTCTACATGGGGTTACCCTTGAAGAGCGTTCGGAGGCTGCAGTTGGTTCAGAACGCAGCCGCGAGAGCGATTATGGGCGCGCCAAGGTACGCCCACGTGTCACCTATCCTCTGTGAGCTGCACTGGCTTCCTGTGGGTCTCCGGATGCAATTCAAGGTGTTGGTTATCACCTTCAAAGCCCTTCATGGCATAGGGCCAGGTTACTTACAGGACCGCATTCTGCCGCACAGCTCCCAGAGACCGGTGAGGTCCCATAGATTGGGCCTCCTTCAGGTCCCGTCGGCCAGACAATGTCGGCTGGCGGGCCCTCGGGGAAGGGCCTTTTCTGTGGTGGCTCCGACCTGGTGGAATCAACTTCCCCCCGAGGTTCGAACTACTCCCACCCTGCCGGCCTTTAAGAAGGCCGTTAAAACTCTCCTGTTCCGGCAGGCCTGGGGCTGATGTCCCCGGGGGGCCGGGATATGATCGGACTCACGGTATGACTGTTTTATTTTATTGTTTTATCATTGTTTTAACTTTGTACACCGCCCTGAGTCCTTTGGGATTGGGCGGCATATAAATATTTGAAAATAAATAAATAAATAAATAAATAAATTACAGTTTTCTCAATGCTTTGTTATACTAGCTGGTTGTTAGTAACCTGCAGGCTACATAGCTGCCTAATTGCATGCATTATATCATTCCCATAAATATTACAATAGGCTCACAACATTCCTATGAATTGCTTATCTAAAGTAGTGCAGAAGTAAATATTATCAGTGAAACATAATGCCTACCTTGGCTTTATTTTTGAAAATAGATTTGGGCAGATAGTTGTAATGGAGATGTGTGGCCACAATCCTTGGAGAAGGAAATTGTTTCATCCTCTTTACAAACAAAAACAAGGAAAATTTTAAAAAACATATCAAATGGGCCACTCGTGCATGTACAGATTGGCTCTACTGACATATAAAAGTAATTTGTTGCCTATATCAAGAGGCAGTTAAAATAACATTGATTCTCTAAATCCCATCTGCAGATTTTATGACACAAAACTGAACAATATTGAGATATATCAAATGTTTTATATCACTCTATTTTCATATTCCAGACAAGCAACAAAATCACAACCAATTCCTGAGCATCTAATGACTAGAGCAAGGATCTGCAACCTTGACAACTTTAAGACTTGTGGACTTCAGCTGAAGTCCACAAGTCTTAAAGTTGTCAAGGTTGCAGACCCTGGACTAGAGGACATTGCTGGAAAACTAGAGGCACATTTCAGACAAGAGAACTTTCTCTGTTGCCTTATTTCATTGCAACAACTACCACGCAGGTGCAGATGAAATATCCCATTTTGGAAAGCCAAGTTTTGCTACTAATTAACCTGAAACTTTTCTGGATCTCCACACTCCATAAATGGCAATTCTGTATTCTCTTGCTTAATTTTCAACGTTGTGGCAATCAGATCACTCACAATGAGAATCAACCAATTTGCTCCTGGGGAAAGAAAAAACAGGAAAAATCATAATAAAATCTAAGGACGTCATTATTCTTGGCTTCATTACCTCAACTAACTGCAAAATAATTTGCAACTAGATATGGTTAGATGGAAACTATCCATAAGTTTCAATTAGTTGTACAGTATTTTAAACCTGAATCTTTACCAGATTGCTAAATTACAATCTATATAGCTGCTTCAGCTTGTAAAAGCATTCTTTTATGTTTTAATGTATTCCCTCATATATATTTAAATAAATATGTTGGTTTATGCCTCAAAATCAGAAAGGAATTTTTACTGCAAGTCAGGATTTCCATTTTTGTTTCAAAGCCAAGTTGTGGTGTTGGGACATTTGTTTACCATCATAGAGAGCATAGCAGATTACAAATGAGGAAATAGATATAGCCAGTTTGGTCTAGCAGTTAAGGCATCAGGACAGAAACCAGAAGACTTGAGTTCTAGTCCCATTTTAGGCATGAAAGACAGCTGGATGTCTTTGGGCCAAACATTCTCTCTCAGTCCAATTCATTTTGAGGGTTGTGATTTTGGGCAAAATAGAAGGAGGAAGGAATATGGGATATGCTCACCACATTGAGTTATTTATTTATAAAAATAAAAAAGTTAGGATTGAAAAAAACTTCAAATAATAATAGCTGGAGGACACAAGGGAAGGGGAAGGGGAAAGACAATGATTGCAACTAAGTTTTAAGCCTAATTGTAAAGTCATGATTTAGCCAAAATCTTTGAATCAGGCATTACCGATGTTTAGTCATAGTTGTTCCCATATTCTGTTGAATAAATCACAAGGGATGGAGTCACATAATACACTAAGCCGTTCTTTTTTTAAAAAATGACTTAACGTGATGCTTGAACCATTAAGAAATGTATCTTAAAATAATATAAAGCACATTAAATAACTAAAGTACACATTTGCAGTGAAATTATCAGGGCAAAAACTACCTATCAGTTAATGGCACCTGGCAATTTTTCGTTATTATACAAAATACTTTTAAGCTTTAAAAAACCTCTTCACATAAGCTTATGAAATGCTAATTGAAATAGTTCAATCATTTATTTAACATTTTATTTACCATTCTGTTCTCTCCTTTGTATATAGTTTACATAATGCAGCATCTGACACCAACTAATAATCGTAAAGCTAATTCCGGTACAAAAAGTTTCATTAGAAAAAGGAGGATTAGTGGCGCTATTTCGGTATAAACCATCTCAATGGTAATGATAAATATTATGTAACACATTCACAATATTAAAAAGGAGGGTTTTTTATAGTTGCTTATGATCTCATTTGGCAATAAAAAATAACACAAGAGTTCTATTCACCACATTTGGGGTAGGACACCAACACCGCATCATCTTTTCTGCTTTCAAAATTCTCCAGGGCTTGGAACGTCTCTGCACTGCACACTGTATTCGGGTAGGGAATTCCCTGGTAGGAAAAGAGAAGTTCATGGAGTTTAAGGTCTTTGGATTTTTCCAGCGCTTTCTCTATTTCTTCTACAAATTTTTTCTCTGTCATGGTTGCTTTCTCTGTTCTAAGCTAACTACCCTGTTGTTAAGGCACCAAAAACCTTTAAAGGTATTTGAGAGGTGGACGAAACAGCATTACTGTATACTTAGCCTTTTGTTTTCTACCTTATATAAGAAAGCCAGGCAGCTTGGGTTACCATCTTTTGCTCCTCCCTTTCTATTCTCCAGAAGAGAAAAACTATCAAGTCCCCCTGCTTAATTATTGTTTTGCAGATAATCCCTACTTAAATCAAGAAACTTAGACAACAAAGTGGGGGGGGGAGAGGGAGAGAGAGAGAGAGAGAGAGAGAGAGAGAGAGAGAGATCTAAATGGCTTAATAAGCATCTCCAATCAACATCAAATTTATTTCAATGTATAGGGCCACCCGTTTTTTTTGTAGCGACTCTAGGTCTAGGCTGCTACTCAGTTACAAACACAATATAACCAGAAATAGATTTATCCTTGGCTGCCAAGTCTGTTACAGAATTTAATTTGCTCCCAAATTATAGATACAAAGCACCTTTCTATGTAGCCATCCTAATTTTTACAGTGTTGGGCAAAGTGCAATAAGAATATCTTCAGTTGCCACCACATAACTCTATATAGTGAGCCATTATTATGTTTTACAAGTGCTGCAAGCATGCAGAGCTACACCTGCAACAAGTAGCTCGAGCCCCATGAATAAAAGACGAAGTAGCACTAGCAAATTCCCTGAGCGTTTTTTAACATTGCTCCTGCGCGACTAATTTTTGTTTGCACCGACCATCATCCATTACTGAATTGCGAGGCTAATTCCGAAACACGCTGACAGAGGGCGTACTTCGGTCTGCCGGCTTTTTGCTTCAAAAGCATAATCCGGTTGCCACCCGTAGGCGACGTAAAACGGGACGAAAAAGAAGGCGTTATTTGCGGGATTAAAGTAAATTGCGTAACCTCGAAGAGGTCACTTTTGCACATGTGCAAAATGGAAAGTAGTAGCTAAACTCCTCCAGCCGCGAAAAACACTTTACGCCTGCGCGCACAGGCTTGGCTCCTCCCTCGGAAGTAAGGAAAGAGGCATCAGAAGGCATGGAAGGATGAGCGGAAGAGGACTTTTGGATTGTGAGTGTCTGGGCACTATCAATGGTAATTGCTGCTTGCATGTTTCGTCCCAAGTGAATAATAGAGCAATGCCCGCGGCGTGGTTTTTGCGCGGAAACTTAGCAGCTCTGCATTGACGGTACCCATAGAAAGTCCTAGTTTGACCTGAAACTGGGAGGACTTTTCTGCCTCTGAGTCGGGAGGAAAAGTTGATTTGGGGGAGCAAATGGCAATTCTCCGTAGCACTAAATGTGTTTTGGATGGACTATCCCAGTGTTTTTCATTCAAACTTGGCAACTTTAAGATGAGTGCATTTCAGATCCCAGAATTCTCTAGCCAGCATGCTGATCAGTTCAATACCCGTTACGAAAATAGTCATTGTTCTGGATCAGCTAATTAGATGAGAACTATATGTACAGTCATATATGATTTCATCCCACTGTCAGTATAATAAAATGGAAGTAATCATCAGCAAAGGCCTTGGCAAGTCGTTTAGAGGAAATTTCAGTGAAGAATGTTAGCATTTATATTTTTAGTGCATTTAGTGCACTGAAATTACATATCAAAGCTCAGGAAATCCAACAAGATCAGACTGTTCTTCCCAAGAATGTTTTTGGGTGGGTTTTTTTTGAGCAGTCTAACTCCACCTTTTAAAGCAGAAAGATATTTGTCCCAAAAGTCTGAAGGGTATTAACCTTAGCACAGTGCAAAGGAACTAGGGGATCAGCCATATTGGACTTAATTCTCATTAACAGAGATGAAATGATAGGTGTTGAAGCCACAAGAGCCTTGGTGGGGAGTGATCATGCAATATTGGAATTCAACATTATGTAAGCACAAGCAATAGAAAAGTCAAACTAGAATCTTGGACTTTAAGAGAGCTAATTTCAATAAACTTAATAGCTTTTTTCACTGCTCACTTGAAAATATTTGCTTCCACCAACCATACGTTGATTCTTATTTTGCCTTTTGTCCTTTAAACCAGGGGTTCCCAATTCCTGGGCTGTGGCGCACAATGAGGCTGCCTATTCTGAATCAGGCCGCATGAGGTGGGCTGGCACGCACACACATGCGCAGGCCGGCGTGCACCCATGTGCACAGGCCAGTGTGCATGTGCGTGCACCTCAACTTGCAGTTGAGCTGCGCATGCACACAAGCCCACTGCTCACGCAAGTTGACCGCACACACATGGGCACTAGTTCCCTCCCTCCCTCTAGCTGGGCCGCTAAACTGCAAAGGTTGGGGACCACTGCTTTAAATTACTCATCTTTCTCTTGGGAACTCGATTCCATGCATCCATTTTATTTCCTTAGCCCATTTGCTCATCCTTTATACATATTTTGTGATTTTATCAGTCAAATATATTACCAAATAAATCTATTACTATTATCACTCATTTTAGTATTCATTCTTTCATCCGTTGCCTCTTAATGCACTTAATGACCCTATTTCCATTGCATCCAACTCTCATTTACATTCAGAGCCTAGTAGTCACGTCCATGAAAATTATACATTTACATCATCTTGAATATTTCTTAGATGTTTACACATAATGTATTAACAAAGAGATATCACACATTCTTAAGTGATTGAACTATGTTCTGAACATCCCATTCTTGTGCATGTTGAGTGAATGTTGGAAATAAACTACAATTGAAAATCATTGGAACATCCAATACCAGTACCTCAGCAATGATTTAACAAAGATCTGTGAGGTCTGTGGAAAACATATCTTTAGTTCTATTTCTTTCAGCTTCCTTGTGTAAAGTTGTTTTGTTTCTTGTTCTTTAAAGTAACTATTGAAATGTTGTCACAACTGACCTCTATTTGCTTCTATCACTAGGATTTGGGATTGGCTAAACAATGAAGCCCCGATCTATCAGGTTCTTCAAAAAAATTCTAGTTTTGGAAATTATTGGAGTTCTGGGGGCATACACTTTGTATCACAAAATGAACTCAAGTGAAGGTAAGAATCTGATACAGCTTAACGTCAAGTAACATCTCTGATGTGGGCAGTCATATCTGAAATGGGAAAAATATTTTGGATCTGGTGTTGGTACACTTACTGTATTGTCAGTCACACCATAAGGAAGCCATATGGTATTTTTTTTCTGGGTGTCCCTGGTATTACTGAGCAAGGTGCGGCTTCTTGAAGGTTGTGGTGATAGATCAATTAAATATGCTTGTGCTAGATCTACAATTGGAAAACACCTTTTCTACACATCCTTATTTATCAAATAATCTGACTAGTTCATAAATATTGTAACCTTGATAGAGCAGCAACTGGTCCACATTTTCTGCATCTTCACTATCATTAGATTTGCTTATATGCCGTCAAGGCATTTTTCAACTCCTAGCAACTGTATAGATATGCCCATGATGATTTGTCTATAACCTTTCACGTCTCTCAATGGCACTCGTTCCTACTGTAACTTGAGTCTGCTAGTTGTCCACTTCTTTTTCCTTTCATCTTTCCCAGCGTACTGTTATCTTTGAGGTGTGATGACCAAAGCTACACCCACATTTCAGATATGATCAAAATACAGATTTGTATTAAGAGATTACTTATGATTACATTAATTTCCTTGGTTCCTTTTTCTTTTACTTTTATTCATAAGGAGATGCCTTTGTCAAACTATTTATCGCTATTTCCAAATCCTCTAAAGCAGAGTTCCCCAACCTTTCCAGCTTTGCAGACTGGAGTAACGGGGGGGGGGGGGGGGACGGAAGAGGGAATGGTTCTGTGCAGATGACTGGCAAGTGCACCCACCACTTGTGCGAATGGAACACATGTGCTCACCTCCTGCTTGTGCAAGTGGGGATCCGCATGCACACTCACCTGCTTCCACAGCCCAGTTCCAAACAGCTCACAGCCCAATAGTGAACCATGGTCCGGGGCTGGAGACCCCTGCTCTAAAGGATAGTCAGCACTAGTTTAAATCCTTCTAGCATATTTATGATTAATATTTTTTTCTAAATGTTCATAACTCTGCACTTGCTTAGACTAAACTGTATCTTAATGCTCATTGTTCCAGGAGATTTTAAAGCTCTTAATTATCCCATTTTCTTTTAATCAGATAAATTGGCATCAACAAACTTATTCATTGCTAGTCTTTAAGCTCCTTTATGAATGCATTAAATATTGCTAATCCCAGTGCAGGTCTTTGAGAATCTCACTGTATCATTGAGACCTTTATTCTTATTCCTTCCATTTTTTTTTAAATTAATGAAACATGAGATCTTTTTTATCTTAGTACACAATAGCTGAGATTCCCAAGAATTCTTTGGATATTAACTTTGTTAAAACTTTTTGAAAACATAAGGAGACATTTTGCTGTCTCTTTTACAAATTAGTTTCATATTCAGTGAACTCCGAAAGATTAGCACAATGTAAAAAAAGTATACATCGTGCAACTATTGTATTAACGTCTGCTGTAATACTTTGTAACTAATAGAAATTCCTTTTACCCCAGATTTCAGACATAAAATGAAACGAAGGTGGCCATCTATTCTGGAAGGTATGTTTGGTTAATAATTATGCTAGTGTAATTCTTTCCTTTGGTGAAACAAGCTATTTTTTAAATATAGTTGTTTGGTACAGATAACATTCTGCAGGACTTCCTTCTGAAAATTAGAATAAAAATATACTCAAAATTCCATCTTAATTCAGCCAAGTTTTAAGGCATTTTCTTATTTTCACAGTTTATTACAAGAGTAATGAGTGGGCTGGTATTTATGGGATCAGAGAGAGGGATGAAGAGAAATGGCTTACAAAAAAACCTTAAAAGTAAGTAGAAACAATTTGGTAGTAGTTTGGTAGTAATATCAAAAGAATTTACATTTATTTTTTTCGCTTGTATTTTTGTTTGTTTTTCAGTGGTTTGTGCCTGAATGTCTTTTTCTGCCTGATGATACTTTTCACATCTTTATTGTGAATCCACTTGTCACGTTCTGCCTCCCACTTGAGCTGTTTGAAATCTAACAGAGGAAGACAATGAATAAATTAGATGAGTCAATCGAATAAGTACTCTTTAAACTTGAAAGCAAAGTTTTCTATTGGGATGCAAAGAATTTCTTAGGCAAGCATTCAAAAGATCAAAGCATGAATACTCTTGTTGAATTTTTTCATTAAAAAAAACATGTAAGAGGTATATAAAAAGGCTCCATTTTTTGTTTTGTTTTTCAGCAGGCTCTTCAATCTTATTACTGTACATTTCAAATATGTGTCTTTTCATAATATATCTAAAGCAGAGGTCGCCAACCTTTCCAGGCTCGAGGCCCAGAGGGAAGCAGCTTACAAATTGGTGCACACGCGCACACAAACGGGGCCACGCACAGCAGCATGGCACTAGTGGCCCTGTTTACACATGCGTAAATGGGCCACACACACAGTGCTAGTGGCCCCGTTCGCACCCTTGTGCATGCACAAACGGGGCCGCAGTCACTGTGCCAGTGGGGGGAGTGCCAGCCATTTCTGCAGCCCACTGGCCAAGAAGCCGTGGCCCAGTAGTGGGCCGTGGCCCATAGGCTGGGGACCCCTGATCTAAAGTAACCATCTCAGTATATTTAAAAAACAGTAATAGAGGTCTCACCAGTTTTGCTTTGGGGACAATTGCCTTTTCATGTGTGAATAATTAACATTCCATCTCTATATAGAAACACTACAGATTGAATATAGATTTGACCTTCGTTTGGAAGCTAAGGAAATCTAGCCAAGTCTCCCAGTGGAATAAGCAGCAGGATACCAATCTTTATATATTTCTCCTGTATGTTTCATCTAACCAGCACTTATAAAGAAGTATTTTATATGCTAAGTAAAATATTAAGCATAATAGAGAACCCAGGCATAAAAGAACTGAAAGTAGCAAGTTCATTAAAATTCCATTTAACATGATAAATTTTTCCTTAGTCCTAATACTGCAGGGATTAGTCCTAGCAGTTGTCAGGAGTCAACAATAATATCAAACCAACTCAAAAATAATGGGTCTGCTCAGTAAGAATGTTACGTATGTATACCCTGTTGAGGTGGGATGTCAAAATATATTTCCTGTTCATATAAATGTTACTTACTTGCATTATCTTTGTTGGCCATTGCATTCATTCCAATATTGTCAAACTTGGACCCAATATTTTCATCCAACAAGTGACCAAACTTTAAAAGAAATGCAATATAATTAGATTCTCTGAATGCCTTCAAATCAAGTACAATTTCATAAATACTAAAATTAATACACCTACTTCTTCTGCAGCAGCAACACCCGTATCTTTGAGTTTTCTTTTTCTTTTATTTGACCCTTGAAGAAAAAGAGTATTCAGCAACTGCTTCTACAGTTTTATATAAAGCAAGCATTCACTGCTGTTAGTATAACAAAGTAGTGGCCAAAGAATCAATTGAGGCTGGAGGAACTAGAAAAATCCACCAATCTGAATTGGATAAAACTATTGTACAATGAAAAATTCCAGTCTCTTAACTTGGCAGCAAACATCCTCATTTATAGATCCTACTTTCCACTGGTTTGGAAGGAATAAATATGACAATATACTATAAATGTCCATGTTTCTCCCTCACTGAAATTCTTACGTTTTAGAAAGTTGATGTTGTATCAGCCACTCCCCTGATATAAAAACTGGATTGACTGGTAATCTGTTTAATAATGTAATCAGAAAAGTCTCTAACAAAATGAATGTGTGGTTCAATGAAATTATATTGCAATGTAAAATCTCTTTGGAGTTACTTGCATTTAAAGACTTCATAAATAAAACTAAATCCCTTATTACCTTCCAATTCTCGCTAATATAATTCCCTGATGCAGTCTAAAACTGCTTCTGATTGTGCACTGGAAAGAAAATAATTCTGGTAACTTGTGCTAATCCCTTGGTATTTTGACAGAAACATGAATTTCTCATGCTTCTTATTTGTCACGTCTTAAAAGTATTACCTTTACCTATATTACCTTTAACTGATCCAACAAAATCCATTTCTTTTTTTCTTTGGCTATTCTTACTGCCAGGTATAAATTCAATGTCTTTACTTTCACCTGTTACCAAAAAGAAGAGTAAAACTTGTATTACATAATAAAATTGAAAATTATCGCATAAAATTTGGTTACCTTCACATGGAAACAACTTGCATATTACAAATACTGCAACAATTCAAGATTTCATAGATATCCTCTGAGTAACTGCAGGCATTTCTACAACATCATTTTTAAAACTGGAACAATTTATCTGTATTTACTGTTTTAGCAAGAGTGAAAAGTTTTAAGACTTTGGGAATTGTTGTTTACCTGGAGTGTTATCGTCATCTGACATATCCATGAAAGTCCCTCCCTCTTCATCAATATCTTCCCCAACGTCTTCGTCCATACTACTCAGAGAGACTTCCTCATCATCAAGGTTATCAAAATTGTCTTCCTCAGAATCTTCTGATTCTGTTTCGTCATTTGAATTTCTCTTCTTTTTCTTTTTGACTTTTATATTACTAAAAAATTAGGAAAGAAACTTTAAATACACATCTCCTGTATATTTTTTCTCACAATTCTTACCTTAAATAGGCCTTTGTAGATTTAATACTTGATGGAGAAAGGACTATCTTATGATTGTGGTGCTTTATTTTGAGACAGCCCAGATTATGTTCTCTGTATATCTTTCAGTGTTTTTGACTAGAACAGTATATAATTGTTGTTAATACATATGTAACTTTGTGAATGCTAATCAAATTAGACTTTATCACCTGCACTTAAGCTGATGGCTCAATTAAGGAATTTACTGGTAATACTTCTTTACACTGTAAGGAAATCTGAAGAACCTCAGTCATCAATGCCACACTACTTTATATTAGACAAATTAGCAACCTTTATGCAAAAGGAAAACAGATAAAAATCTGCATCAGAAATAGCATTATCTGAAACTTAAGAGCGATATTTCAATACCCCAGAATTATTTACTTATATCCTGCCTTTATTATTTTTAAAATAACTCAAGGCAGCAAACATACCGAATTCTACCTCCTATTTTCCCCACAACAACCTTGTTGGACTGAGAGAGAATGACTGGCCCAGTTAGCTGCTAGGACTCTGTTCCAAAGTTGGAGTACTTGATAAAAAGAACTTTTCACTGTGAGTTAGCTATAAATGTGCACAAAATTAAATATACAGGATACACCATAAATGTGGTTTTGATTATGAATTTAGATGCAGATACTTTCACAAAACTGCTTAATGGTTAAATTTGATCTTCTAAATCTCTTTATATAATCCAAGAATGCTGATCAGCTTTCCATCCCAAATCCCTATTTTCCTTTAACGCTAATATTTCATAGCATTTGAAACTTGAACTAATGGGAACAAAAATACATAATGAAGTATCAATGGCTCTCCCAATTTTTGTCTTCTTGGCCAATAAAAAAGTGCTCCAAACTATTCAATAAAGGAAGCACTAAACTCCAAATATATTGGAGGGGGAAGGGAGATACAAATAAAAATGATCCATTGCTTATTCTACTGTGTTTCCATTTCACTGTTTTCATTTAATAGGGCTTGAAATAGGAACCATATACAAAAACCAGTTGACACAAAGTTTTACTTTGTAATGAATGCCAAGGTAAATGCTCTGTGTCAACTGTTTCTTATATAATCCTTATTTCAAGTCTAAGCACTTTATATCTACATCAAATTATGGTGAAAAGAACTCAAAAAGGGATTAATTTATTTCCGTACACACATTATCAAAATTATTTTCATACATAGAACAGAACTTTTAAAGTGTAGATCTGAGAGATTTACACTGCAAGATAGTACTTTTCTCCTCAACCTCAAGGACAAGTAGACCAAGGATATAAAACATACACTTCAGAACTCTAAAATATTAGTTTTTTTTAAAAAAATATCCTTTCTAAACAAAACAATTCAAACACTGCAAAGGTTTTCAATATTACATCAGGTAGATCACTTGGGTAAGTTCAGATCTTTCTAAAGTAATGATAATTCTCAGAGGTACCTCATTTTTGCTCAAATCAAAACCCTAAAAAATAAGTAACAGATAAAACAAGCATGCTCTAGGGTTATGTTTTGCATAAAATTGCATTGATTTCATAGTAATTTGGATGATTGGTAATATTTCAAGTGTGAAGACCTATTCTAAATCCCATTCAGTGACATAACATTAAGGGGTGGGGTTTTTTTTTCAGAAGAATCCTGAGCCATCATGCACTACATACTGTAAAATCAGTTCTTAGTGCTAGTTTAAACCAGTTATTTATGTTCTCTAGAGTCTTTAGAATTTATATACAGAATTTTAAAAATCTTACCCAGCAAAATTAAGATCACTCTCAATGTTCTCAAAATAACTGTCTTGTTCAAATGAATCTGAAAGAAATTAGGTATGGTATTGCAATGTCAAAGTTAAAATATTTAAAATTTTAAAGTACAGTTCATTGTAATTTATTGTAGAGAACCACAGAAGGGAAATGGCAGCTAGCAAAACATGAATTAAACCCAAAAAGAAAATGTTAGAAAGTAACTTAAAGTAGCTCTGTCTAAATTCTCTTTGATCTAGGTGGGAGGTAAATGAAAGCATTTTCAGGTTTTCAAGACTGATGTCAAATAGTAACTACCACATTCAAAGGAAGTCGAATGTTCTGTGTATCGATTATGAATTATTATTTACCTGAGAGGAGGAAAAGAACAGTGTGCATAGCCTTACCTAATGCTCTTTCAAATTCTTCATCATCCACGTCTTCTATACTTTCATCATCTCCCTCAGGCTTCCTTTTTACTTTGTCCAAATCTAATTTTTTATAAAACCTGAGAATCAAAAGAATATTGTATACGTCCACATAAAACTTGTGGTTCTTGAGATATGTCTAATCTGTTCGAGTAATACACAGCTCAAGAGTTTACTTTTATAAACGCTATCATTTTAAAGTCATTACAGGTAGTCCTCTGGTTACAATGGCAATGGGAACCAGGATCGCCACTGCTAAACAATGGAATCATAACCTCAATACGTGCAGGTCATTAAGCAGGAAGAGGCAACTTACTACCTTCCCTGCTAGTTTCTCCATTGACTTTGCTTATGAGAAGGTAGTAGGGAAGGTTGCAAATAGTGGTCACAAGACTGTGGCTCCCTGGCGGTATAATCATGACCCAAGCACTCAGA